GGTTGGACTCAATGATCTTAAAAGTCTTTTACAACCTAAATGATTCTATGATTATTTTTTATCATCATTAAAGACGTAATTGTCACAGCAACAGGCCTAATGGCACCTTTATCCCCTTTCTGCATTCTCTCAGAACATTACCCTTAGTTTTCAGGTTTCCTATGACAGGATAAATTTTTACAATTCTCCATTTTTAGACTAGGTCCCAGCCTACAGTATGACTTATCAATCGGTTTACCTGGCAAATCCAACTAAATCCAAGCTCTTTCTGTTCTTCCCTTCAGTGATCTCATAAGCTGCTTAAGAAAAGAGTAGTTTTCAGTTTAAACTAGAAACAAAATATTTAGAAACAGCACTCTGCCTCTATGTCTGTATTATGTCAGGATTTATCAGCTCCTGCCAGTAAATTAGTTAGGCACCTTCAGAATCCTCAGGCAGATTTTATGCCTGTCTAATTTTCACAAACGGAAATCCCTCTTGCAAAGGTTCTTTTTAAAATGTCATTCTTCTCTTATTGCTTATGTCTTAGGGATTTTTTCATAGGTTTTATTGTCTCTCAGTGACTTCTGCATATTTGTTGATGGATGGCTTACACTGAGCTATCCCTTTTCCTTTCTGTCACTTCTAACAGAGCTTCTGTAAATTAACTTGGTATGTTCATAAACACCCAAATTAATATACAGAATGTAATTATTAAACTATTATAAAGCTGCTATGAATCCATCACATAAATATCACTAAACCCATGTGATTTCTATGCTAAAGAAATGAGCGTGTTTCTTATGAGAGCTACACTAAGCCTACTGCAACAAAACGTTCGCTCAAATTTGTCATCTGAGATTGCAAGGTAAGGTATGAATATATCCTGTAAATAAAAACTGTATTTAAAGTTAAATACACAAATACACTTAGCTTTTTTTAGTATATAAGCTGGGGAGAGTTGGCCTGGGGTGGGGATCGCTGCTCGGGAGCTAACTGGGCATCAGTCAGCAAGCAGTGAGCAATTGCGTTGTGCATCACTTATTTTGTATATTCCAATCCTATTATTATTATTATTATTGTCATTTTATTATTGTTATTATTATCATTATTATTTTCTTCCTTTCTGTTCTATTAAACTGTTCTTACCTCAGCCCACGAGTTTTACCTTTTTTTTCTTGATCCCCTCCTCCATCCCACTGGGTGGGGGGGAAGTGAGTGAGCGGCTGCGTGGTGCTTAGTTGCTGGCAGGGGTTAAACCACAACATAGACAAACCCAAAGTCCTCAGCTGCTCCTCATAGGACATTCCTTCCAGCCCTTTCACCAGCTTTGTTGCCCTCCTCTGGACGCATCCAAGGACCTAACATCCTTCTTAAATTGTGGAGCCCAGAACTGAACACAGTACTCGAGGTGAGCTTGCACCAACACTGAATGCAGTGGGATGCTCCCCTTTCTTGACCGTCTGGTTACGCTGTGTTTGATGCCCCCAGGATGCGGTTTGCCCTCTTGGCTGCCAGGGCACGCTGCTGACTGGTACTGAGCCTGCTGCCGACCAGCACCCCAGATCCCTTTCTGCAGGGCTGCTCTCCAGCCACTCTCCTGATTTATGCTTATGCCCAGCATTACTCCATCCTAGGTGCAGAATCCGGCATTTCAACTTGTTAAATTTCATGCCATTAATCATTGCCCAATGCTCCAATCCATCTAGATCCCTCTGCAAGGCAGCTTCCTAGCTAATTCCCCTTGTTTTTATACAAATATCAATGTTGCACCTTGCCTTGTATGACATTTAGTCACACTCTGTCATGCCCCTGACCTGATCTACCTCCTTTTTTTCTGCAGAAATGTGCTTATAGCTTTCCCTTAATTTTAATCTATAAGCTGATTTGAAAGTAGTTTCCTTTTTTTTTTTTTTTCTGGCTATCATAATTTGTAAAGCATGTTCTTTGAAGTCAACATGTAAAAGTTTTGCATCTCATAAGACAAGCTCTAGTCAAGAGATGATGTGGATGAGCAAAAGCAAATAAAAAATGTCAACAATTTGATATGGGATTTTTTTAATATAGTGAATGAGATATTGAAAGGCACATCAGGGAGTTAGAAACGTAACTCTGGATAATGGCAGTGGAATTGTCCTTCTAAAAAGCTTTGAAAAGAATGATAAGTATTTTTTAAATTATTTTTCTGTATTTTTTTAAGTAGCCTCCCCGCCCCCCAATTCTATTTGGGCAAGACAGATGGAAGTTAAATTTCTGAATAACTGATTACCACTGAGAGAGGATGAGACAGGGAGGAAATTAAAATATATGCACTGGGAATATGGCTGAAAAGTTCACTTCAGTTGCTGCAGATGAACAAATGGAAATTTCCTGGCAGTTACATTAAAAATTATTTCTAGTACATAATATTTAAATCATCCAAATTTAAGTATTTAAAATAAATCATGCTAAATTTCACTATTTAAAAAAAAATTTAAAACAGTATTTCAACTAGAAGAAATTATACTTGAAACATTTCAGGTATCAAAAATGTTTCACTGTGATTTCTTCACATTAATTCTATTACAGTAAGTAAATAAGAAAAGCGTCATTTCAGAAGTGTAATGAAGAAAATGTTTTCAGGGCTCTGAGTGCAGCGACAAGTCCCGCAACTTCCTCCCTCTTCCCTAAGGGTTTGGCTGCCTATCCTCAAGGCCAGCTCCACTGACACGGTGCAGCCATCACCTGGGGTCAAGGCTGCTACAAGACAGAACCATGAGATGCTGTGTTGGGGGCCTATTCCCTCAGCTCAGGAGCGGCATTTCAGCTCAGGGCCATGCCCCTGAGCCCTGTCTGAGCAACGCTGTAGCTGTGCCTGTGCTCAGCACCACACGTCGCTGCTCCTGATTTTGCTGACTTGCCTTCTGGACTTGCCTCAGATCTGCCCATCACCATGGCCTGGGCTGGCCACCCCTTGGCTGTGGTGGACCCCAGTCACCGTCCCCGTCCCCACTCTGCTCTTCTGGCTGGGTGCTGTGGGACTGCGCTGTGTTGGAGAGAGCACTGCCCTACACCTCACCACCACCCTCAGCTCTGGGCTCGCCTGCCCTCACCCAGCAGCTGCTTCTGACAAATAAAGATCTAAAGTGTTCCTGGGATATTCCTGAAATTAAATAGAACCATGAAAAAAGTGTAAAGCAAAAATGAAGGCATTTTTAGTAATCTTTAAGAAAACTACAAGGGAAGTGTCAGTTATTTTCTAAAGCGAGTAAGCAAATTTTATCAGGAACTTTTGTGAAACTCTGCATCTAATTTTATTTTAATCCTTCATTTTAAAAAATATTTTTCATAATTCATAGATTGAAACAGTATTTCTGCTGACATGAAAACCATCTGCCTTAGCACAGTAGGTAGGAACCAAATTAAATAGATTATTCCTTAGAACCGATACTAAAAATGCAGTTCACTTGGCTAATTTAAGTAAACAGTCCACACAAAACAAACGAAAAGCTCAAAACCTAGTGTGCATAAATAGACTAGCAGCTCCCGAAAATGCTCCATGCAATTTCAGGACAATAAATACAGAATGAATTGTACTGTCCTGGTAGAAAAATTCCCTGGTGTTTGAAGAGATCTGTAAACCCTAAGTTTGGGAGCACAAATTATTACTGTAAAAAGTTGAAACAGCTGTGATTCTTTAAAGTGTTTTGTTGTTGAATAAGACAGACTGAAGTCCACAAAAATGTAAAGAGAAGTGTCATCCAAACCTCGGTCGTTTGCACAATAATCTGAAAATCACTTGAAGCCATTTTACGAAAGCATAGCTAGGCATTCAGAAAGAAAAGGGCGATGTTCAGCCTTTTCATTATCTAGTAATAATAGCGGTTTAAAGGGGGG